CTCACAAACCGGATGACACACTTGCGATGGCTTCTCAACAACGTCCCATGTATCCTATTCACCACAGCCGCCTGAACGCGCCGTGAGCTCAGACGACCCTTCGGAGCGGATATCGAACGTTCACAAAAGTAAATCATCCATCGCTCAGGCACCCGACTACTTTTCGTGTGATCCTATTCACCAGTTTCAGTAACGGTTTTCGATTAATTGCACTCCGCGTGCTTTCAAAAATTTGATTTACACCTATCGTGGCAGCGTCCCTTCAGATTCACACATACTAAGTAATCACCCTCACGACAAACAATCTACAAGTGTGGCCACGAAGAGCTATCGAACATCCGGCTTTTACACCTAGTGGCAGCGTACCTTCGGATACAGACCTTCAACTAATTTACCCAGTAAGAATTCTTACCTCGAAAACACCCTCGCGTCGGTGTGCGTGATATCGCTAAACCGTGCCGTTGTTGAGTTATAAGAGTTTATCTCGTTCGCGTCTCGTATGTGCGTAATATGGAGTAACAGCAGAAGACTCTTGTTGGTTGACATCGCATGTGTATAATATGGAGTGGTGGGTTGTATATTGTTTGAGGACAAAAAAGTGTAGTGAAGTGATAGAAGTGTCTGGGTATATTACGTATACACAAGTAAACGCGTGTTTGCCTCTTAGATGACATATGTTTGTACTACTTGATTACCGCAGTATAAATGTTGTTATCTACGCAGTAAGGGGTGTGAGAAAAAAAAGCGTGTGTTGTACCCTTTTTATTTTCCTTTTCGTTCAACAATATTGTTTAGTAGAATATAAGCATGACGTAATGCTACTGATAATAATAAGCCGTACATACAAAGACTCGTTCTTTACGATAGCGATGATAACACCAATAATCCTTTACATCTAATAGAAAGGCGTTATGACATAATCAGTGAAACGTTTCGGAGTAGAAATATTATCAGTCAGGAGATAATACATAATAACATAATATTGCAGAACAAGACATTTCGGAGTAAAAAATTTTCAATTAGGGGTAAGGGGTAATGGCTAGTGGGGATATGAAAATTTACTGCGGGATAAGCCACGCATATAATTTTAATTTATCTGATCTTTATGAGAGCGATAACAAACGGTAAGGGAATGTATTCCAATTATTTGCTCTCGTCACCATTCTTACTTTGTGGCTAAAAATGTAATGAATACACATTAAAAAGGTCAGTTATAAATAAATTATAATCAACTTGTAGAAACTAGCATTTTGTATTTGCGATGGAGACGAAATCATAGTGAAAGAACGCTTAGTATGGTATTCAATGGGATTAAGAGATTGAATAAAGATGAAAAGTGTTTAAAGATATAAATCAGAATAAAAATAATGATACCATTTGATTTTGCTTATACGGTCGCACCTCGACATAGTCACGGTCAGGATACGAAAATTGAGTGATAATAACAAGGTATGACTATATCGATTTCAAGTTTCATGAAAACGAGTTGATAAATTGCAACAAGTAACTATATTGTAAATGTGACTATATCGAGGTGCGACTGTGTTTAGTAATTTGCGGTCATTACGAAAATGTTGAGCTTAATTTCATATTATCGGGCATACTATATTCAAGTGTAATAATAATTTTGAGCAAACAACAATATATTGCGTGTATTATATTGTTGAGATTGTGAAAATATTAATTGAAACAAATTTAGTGTTATGACAACAGAAAAGGTTTTCAATATCTGGATTAGTTTCGTGTTTGGGAAAATTGAGTGATTTGCAAAAGTATCAACATTTTCTGTTTGAAGCAGCTAAACCTGGAATTGTCAAAGCTTAATGGTAAGCATAAAAGTTTAATTTATTAAAAACTAGGAAAGCAAGTGTTTCAAATTTACTAATCGACCACTAATCAATTTATTTCTGGAAACTTTTACTTTTTGTAAAAAATTTGTCAGACTAACTAATTTACCCTAAAGCATCTTAACATTAATTGACCCCTTCTCCATTGGATTTCAAAAGGCAGGAGTATCTTTACTAAAACATTCATGCATTTGTTTAAAAATATTACTTTCCAAAACCAACCAAATAAAATATTTAGACTAGAATTCTCTCCATTATTAACCCCCATTACTGCTATCTTTCCGCTTTAATTTTTTAAACTTAAATAAAAAACATTAAAATAATTACATTAATATATTTACTATAATAATACTCTCACAAGAGAATATAAGTATTTTAATATTAACAGAATAAATAATAAAAATGTTATAGTAAATATTCTAGAAGCACAAAAGCAAGAAAATTAAAATTATCAAATACAATAGAATTATTGCAATTTAACAATTAAACAATATTAATATGGAATTAGACAATGAGTAATTATTGATATTTGAGTGGTCATTGACTTTATTAGCATAGGAAGCAATTTTTCTTTTAAATACAGCGAATCCTCTCTAATATCCACCCCGGTAATGTCAATTTTTTTTATTAGTATTAGCAACGGCAATTACGGAACGAATTTCCCCGTATATAAATTTATCCGCAATTAATATTAATTGTAGTTTCTTTTTTTTACCAGTTGGAAAGAATAAGAAGTAAAGAGACAACTGAGTAAATTAACACAAAAAACAAAAAACTTTACAACTGCACTGGGGGTAATTTGGGAGAGTATAAAAATAAGAACAGATTTTAATACTAAAGAGTAAGTTAGACTCATTTCTCAATCGTGTTGAAGATAAATAACTAACTTTATTCAATCCATCACGAGGAGTTTTTACCATAATGTCCGTGTCCGTCGGGAAATAGATCGGGGAATAGAAGGGTTTCTAACTCGGGATCGTGTAAAGGAATTGATGTCTCGCTCTCATCTTTTTTGTATATAGAAAGCCGCGAATGTAATGAGAATCTTCACTGTGAATATCATCGGAAAATCACATGTGTTGTCGCCCACGGTTTACAGACGGTATAATATGTTCAGTTTCTATATATAAATGAGCAGCGCGTGGTCATATCGAATTGGAGGCAAGAGAATGATATGATCGTAAGTATAAATTGTTTCTTGTAGCCATTTACAAGACATCTCTTAGAAAAAGATGGTGCCAAAGATTTTCTGAAAAAGAGAGGTCGACGTTTTTGGAGCAACGCACCCAACATACCGAAATACAGTGATAGTGTTTGTAGATTTTTTGAATATCCATATTGACCTGGTATTCTGAGTAAGCGGATACATTTGATGATCTGCCAAGGCTCTATGTAGATATACGGGTGACAAATATTTTCGTTTGCCATCAGGTACGTTTTCGACACAAGGGGGAATTTGTGTCAACTAGGACACGGGGAAAGAGATGGTTTACATGATAGACATACAGCTACTTTTGTACTATGGCGTGGATGTGTAATCAGGAGAATATGAGGATATGCGTGTTCAAATGGGAAGACGGCGGGGACAGAAATTTGTTTGGCGAGTGATCCACTTGATCTGATTAGGGTATAGCAAACGTGAACAGTATGAGCACGGAACGCAAGAAAACTGTGTAATCAATTTCATGGAATCTGCGGAGGACTTTTAATAAGATATCAGAAGATCGCCAGAGTAGGTTCATTAATTGAAGGGAGGATTGTAATAGATTGATTTGAAGATGTTTCAGGAAAAATATGAGAAGTAGGTTGTGAACAATCGCTTCATACGGTGTTATTGAATCGAAAGAATAGTGATCAATGATCCGAGACATTTTTACGAAATTTTTTGGTGATTATTATTAAATCGTTCCTCTGAAGAGTAGAGAGGAAGGAGCGTAATCATGTCTGTTTTTATATGTTTTAAATTTCCGTATGGATTTGAATGATTTTTTAATAAGGGAGCGGAATAACGAAGTGAGTTTCATACACATGCTATTTACTATTTGAATAAAGTGAGTAATCTAGCGTCAAAGTAAATTAACAAGCCTTTTTCTAACCGACTGGTAATAATTAGCCAATTACTTACGAACTATTAGTCATTTTCTCGCTTAACTTGTTAGGAAATAGTAAGAAGCGCGAGATCAACATCAAATGCCGTACATTTGCAATCACGTGGAATACATTTGCGTGAACGAATAAGCATCCCGTAGTACTGTCATTTATTTCAGTCTGTCGCCGTCACAAAAAGTCAGAAAGGCTTGTCTTACTGTACCGATTGATGCTATCTTTATATCGCAATATTCGTCTTCACTCTGTAACGTTATTTTCATAATTGTTCTATACTTCTATATAGAATATTTGTTAGAAGTCGGAAAGAAAGCTTATCTTACAGTACCGATTATATACCTGAACATCACTCGTATCACAACCTTCATCTTCATTCGGTAGAATACTAATAAAATCCGGTATATCGAGACACAATTTATTAGTGTTGCCATGAAAAATATTCGTATTCGAGTTTCGCTGTGTAATAGCCCTTGAATAAAATGCAAGCAATGAATGCAAAAATAAAGTGAATAAGACAAAGGGGAAAATCTGTTTATTGCATATCACGTTGCCATATAGTTTTGTATTAATGTATTCTAAGAAACGTTCACAGGTGCAGTAAATACATGACTATGACAAATATTGGAGCGAATAATCTCGGTCGATACATGATAGAAAAATGTGTTGGGTATTCAATTTACTATGTTTAATCTCGTTATGTAAAATTTGAATGTAACTTGCACAAATCGTTTTGTGTGACGATTTGGTTGTCCGACTATGAACAACTAAAACTCGACTAACTACAGTACATTTCATACGAATTTAGTTATCATTTAATGATCGTACTAGATGATACTGAGCAGAGAGAAGGCTAAATTTTTCCGCCAGTAGATTCAAATATTCTATACTGTTGACGCAAAAAAACAGTTCGGGAATTGCAAATGCATTTACGAAAATCTATGACGCCCCAAATATTCCTCTTCAGTGTCCACAGCGCGTAATGGTTGTCTCATTCTATGATTCAGCTAGGGAAAATAATAACGACGGGTGTCACAGTAAAATCCAGGTCTAAAGAAGTTGGATTCCGATATAATCTGCTAAAGTCCGCCGTCGGTCTTCCAGTGTTCCATTACTGGGCAGACCGTAGAAACTCAAGAGTGTATTTAGAGATGCCCCTATAATATAATATATATTAATATTGATACATTGGTAAAATAGAAAAAAAGCGTATGAAATACTAACTGTTTAATCCATGAAGTTGCGAGATGTTGTTTGGAAAAGTGTCCGGCATCTGATTTTGCAAATTTGGTATTGGTCGAATAATCACAGCGGGATCATTAACGCGTGAATTTAATGCCCTGGCATAACCTCGCATGTCTCTAAATAATAAAATAATATATCACTTAATAACTATTTAACCGTTGTACAATTAAAAGGTGAAAAACTTACAATGCTTGCTGCGTGACATTAAAACGATCGAAGGTCGTTTGCATAGCGGTTTGCATAGTGTTAAGTTGTGTTCGCATAGTGTTTTGCATGGTGTTAAGCTGATTTTGGATAGCGTTAAGTTGATTTTGCATAGCGTTAAGCTGCGTTTGCACGGTGTTTTGTACAGCGTTAAGCTGAGTCTGCAGATTTATGATTGGTAAGTTAGCCATTAAGCCAACTTCCTGAGCAACACCTCCTAGAAGATGAGACAAGTTGTTGAAGTCAGGTTGCTGTTGTGTCTGTTGTTGTTGTGCCTGGAAAGACGCAAACTTGTTAGTTTTAAATTTAATATTAACACATTTGCATTGTATTGTACAATAGAGCCTACCATTGTAGCCTTCGAAAAAGAAGAAAGTAGAGTGTGTTGGTTTTTTTCGTCCTCTTTGTTAAGTTTTGTTTTACAAAAGACGCATTAAGTGCTTACACGGTACAGTATTTATATAAGTTTATGGAAGTTGATCGAATCAAAATTGTGACGCGTCTGTGGTTAGATTTGTTGACACGTTAAGACGCGCCAGCACATTACAGCATTAACGTTATCTGACATCGTTGGTTCTAATGTTGGCGTAACACATATGTCGCAAAATAAATCACTGGATTTGTCCACGGGTTCAAATACAGTCTCCCTGTCATAGTCACACCGAGCGTACTATTCCGCCCATTAAGAATATTATTGCTTCGCTGAGAAAACATCAAGCAATCGCAATAATTTAAAGAGTAAATTAGTAGATTTTTTTGCCACAAAGTGTTCTCATTGCCTGCTATTGGTTGTTTGTATGAAAAATCTTACCTGTCGAAAATCTCTGCTGATACATACTCGATTTATGTTGTAATTCTCTATAAATTTGTCTGGGTTGGGACATGCTTTTAGAACTAAATAAATAAATTAAATATAAGCATGCTTTCCGCTCCTTGTTAAAACTCACTTGCTTGACGAGACTCGCCGCTTCTCTTGATTTGCCTCCTGTGCGACGATTACTATTACTATGGGCAGAGGTTTTAAACTAAGCTCGACTAACTACCGTATGCTGCATACATTTCATGTAGATCAGTTAGAAAGTTGTAGTGTCGTTGAAAAATTGTAGTGAAGCGATAAAAGCGTCTGGGTATATACAACTAGAGACGCCTTGGATGATGGAATATGACATATGCTTGTACTTAATAGCCTTATAAATGTTGTGTTATTATCTATGTGTCTGCAGCTGTCAATATTCAACAATATATTGTCTAAGTATAACATACGCGACATGACGTAATATTACTGATAATAATGAGCCAAAGACTAATTCTTTGCGATCAGCGATAGTAACACTAATAAGTCTTTACATCAATAGAAAAACATTATGGCACAATATCAGTGAACGTTCGTTATGAGATAATAACATAATATTGCAATTGTTGTAATTGGTTTCTATAAGTAAGAACAAGACAAAAAATTTTTCAATCAGGGGTAAGGGGTATTTGCTGCGGATAAGCCAGCGTATTTCAGATCAAGTTCACCATCTTGCAAAATTCGATCAATAGGAATGTAATATCAGGTTTTTTTATGGTAAGCAGTTCCTCTATATTGTCCTGAAAGGGTTTTGCTAAAGAACGAGTTGAGGAGTGATATTATCGGGACAAAATCACTGTGCGTTTTTGGGATCCGCTCGCGCGGAATGGGGCACGTGAACGTTTTGCGCTCAATCATAACTGTAATGCGCAGTCGCGTGACTGTAATATAACAACATGACGTAATACTGCTCATAATAATAAGCCATACATATGCATACTAATAATACAGTAATAGCGATAATGATTATGATAATAAGTCTTTACATCAATAGAAAACCATTATGACATATTGTCATAATTGGTTTCTATAAATAATAATAAGAACAAGACATTTTGAATATAGTAATGGAGGTAAGGGTGACGACTAGTGGGACTGTGGGAATTTACTGCGGATAAGCCACGCGTATAATTTCAATTTAGACTAATCTTTATGATAATAATAACAGCTATGATATCGACGTCGTCCTCGGGGTTATGTGAGCAATTAACTCCTGACATAATCGTCCGCAAGTTAAAGCGGGCTGCGGCGGAGAACGACGAGTACTTGGCGTTGATAGGGAGGTTGGCCAGAGTGTTAAGTGAGATGCACTTTATATACCTGAGCTTGCCAACTTTATGTGAAAGTCATTACAACCGAATCGTTTCTATGAGTTACTTCTATCAACACTGATATTTTTCTCAAAAAAAAAAAGAGATTTGATCCGATTGTGAAGGAATACATATTCTGATCTATTGGTCGAACTTGAAGAGGCTAAATAACGTGTACAATTTGCACAGCAGGAACGCCATCAGAGTTAACACGGAACTATTGGTATGAATGCAACAATAACATTTAGAAGATCGGTAAACAGAAACGAAAAACTTAAATAAATGGCTAGAGAAAGTCTATGAAGTTATAATTAAGTCCGAAACTATATGAGTAATAGCGTAGAGAAGACGAATCTTTTAGGATGAAAGTGGCACACGCGATTTGATAGCCAATAGACGTGTATCGATGCAATGGTTGGAATGACGGTAGGTTTCTATGGAGCGTTCCTGGTATGAATGGCTCAATAAGCGTATTCAGGTTGCATTTACTTCATTGAAACGCTAATACTTTAAATCAAGAATAGACTTTCTGTTGCAATTGATGCGATGTACGAGGCGACATGAAAAAGAAATCTAAGTTGCAGCCTCAGCCGACGGTTGAAAACAATTATTAAGATCGGAAATCATACCACAAGCTCTGGAAGTTATTAACAATGACAAAAGTATGAAGAAAAAAAAACTTGTGTTCTTACGTTTGGCAATGAACAGAAGTACACATTATCTCAATTGAGTTATACGGTGGTACCTTTTTATTTTTACCAGTGTCATCGCTTTCAATATGGTATCGCAAAAATCGAATTCAATTTACTAAATCACGTTGTGACATTCTGTTAACAGATACACAGATACACAGATACAATATGAAGAGCTCTTTGATATCAACCCTCAAATGCAAGAACGGCGCGCTTTAAGACATTTGAGAATAGAAAATGCTAAAACACCTGAATTAACGAAGGGGAAGAGCCTAACCAAGAAGAAAGCAGACTTGTGGGTACTTGTTGGGTCAATGAAAAAATAATATCCCGATTTTGACCTTTGCAAATAACAGACAATGAGGCCTTTTTTATTAAAGTTCTGCATTTCTATGTTATTCATGACTGAAAGTTTAAATTGAATGTATGAATAGCACCCTAAACATGTGACGTAGAGTTGCGCAATTACCAATAACAATGCGATCTTTGTAATCGTTGTGAATAAATGGACGACGTTCAAAGCAAAGAAGACATTGATTCGTATTACGAACAACTATGCGATACATTGGGAAGTCTTCGCGACAGTGAAAATATTTCATTAGACGACCATCTAGAGATATAACTTACATGATGATAACGACACACAAACAGATAAAAAACAGGATAAACACTAAAAAACGAAAAAAAGCAAACAGATATGAAAAAAATAACGAAAGAACAGCTTACTATTAGACTCGTTTTTGACGTACGTTAACCGGTCCACATATGTCTGCTGATACCCGGATACACACTTCCTTTTACCCGTCCCAATAAACCCTTATTAACGAATCGTAGTTGAATTTCTGAATGTACAGGTCTTACCTTAGGAGGTTTTACGCTACATGTAAAACTACACAGTTACATTAACTGCACAGCACACACTTAATGAATGTACTACTTTGAGCAAATTTATATTGCTTGACAAATATCTCAGCATTATTTCGAAATTATCCTTTCTTGGCCCAGTGAAATATACTGTCGGTGAAATGTATAATTATTATCACTGTCATAGTCCCGAAAATGCCATTTTAGTTCCCAAGCGTAAAGCTTTAAAAAAACGTTGAAACTTTTCTGCCATCAATTCTTCAATCAATTTCTTTACGATAGAAGACTCTCCTTTTTTACCAGTCTGTCTTTTGGCAAAATTTTTTTGCCGGATATACCTTCTCGGGAACTTTAGCACGCTTAGATGGTAAAGTGGAAGAGTATTCGCTAGGCGTTTCATCCGCTTCTATGGTATGTATCATCTGATAAGTCTGGCGCGAACTCGGAAGATGTTGATCAGTCATCCTTCTAACTAGATAAAGTAGTCGACTGGAATAGTTGTAAAAAATCTCGTTCAACAGGTATAATGGTTAAACCGGAGACCCATTCAATCTCTTGTTCGCATTTGGGACAACGTGAAAGAATTTTTACATGCTGTTCATGAAATATATGGGAACAGGTAAGTACGATGAAGGATTTTTGTAATCTATGCAAAAAAGGTTCTTGATTACATAATAAACATGGATCATCTATGACAATATCTGGTGAACCGTTCTTAAAAATGTTTAGCGCAAGAGTTTCCAAACATGAAATATACATGAGTCTCTAAATTATTTTTTTTTCACGTTCATTGATAATTGGAGCAGACTGCATCAAAAACCAGACAAAGTGAACATCTAACCATGTGAGTTAAAAATTGGCCAAAGCTGTCTCGGACGATAATAACTCTGGCACTTCAAATATGGTTACAACCGTACTCCCATCACGGATTTCTCTTTTTTGGTGACTTTGAAAATGGAAGACTTACTCGATTATACCGATATCGATAGAAAAAAAAACACTTTTTCCTGTAGATAACATTGTCTTAACAAAACAAGTCTGATGTTGCTTTACATAATCTGAGATAATTCGAATTTATTATAAAGAGTACAAGACGCTAATCATAACTCATATTCCGGAAACACATAAAATTTGGGTATAGCATTTGTCTTGTACCTAAAATTCTACCATCTCAAATTTTCCCTTGACAAAAAAAAATGGTACACATTTTACATCCCGCCGCTACTAAAATACATAAACACTAAACACTATATTGTTAAAAAAAAGATAATTCAGCGACGAGAAAGAGGTATTTTCTAAAACGAGAGAGAAAAAAATAAGCCGAGACTGATAAAGAGCAATGTTATTAATAAATAATGAGGGGGGGAAACTTAACTCGATTATAATGACCTAATCCCACATGATTGCTTGGTTCAGAACATATACTTAATATTTTTGGCGACGTAGAGAGTCGTTTGAGGATCGGGAGTGGGAATAAAAGGCTTGCCAGTAGCTCTGTGAAAGTCATCGCTAGCGTTGTTATAGGCTTCGCACCCCATCTTAAGCCACTTAGCCGCTTTTCCACATGTTTTTGCACCTTCAAGAGCACCACCAGCAATTCCGTCGATACCAGCATCAATTGCCATTCCTCTGTACAAACTACCCGCTTTCTTTAACTCATCATTATCCATAGCCTCGCCGGCAATTTCCATCCCCAAACCAGTTACTCCTCCAACAACCGTCATGGGACCAGTTATTGCGGCAGCAGGAGTAAAATAACTAACGGCAAGAGCGACCGAACCCACTTTTTTTAAAACTTCAAAAGCCACATCTTCTCCTGATTGGCTATTTCCCATGTTGCTAGTTCGCGAAAGGATTTAAAAACAGCGAGAGTTTTGATAGATAGAGTTCTACAACTTCAAAAACTTGGACCGCGAAGGGCAAGGAGAAAATAAGCAAAATGCGCCGCATTTTATGACAAATTCCCTCGCTACGACTTTTTCGAAGCTTCATATCCAAAAATACTGATATCATTACGACAAGAATCCTTCTACCCACGATGGTTATATTTTTTGAACTGTAGTTGTTTGTGCTCTTCCCATATGAAGCAACTCATAGACATTACACAGTACATCAGGAGGTGCGCACAGTAGGGTCTGTCAATGCAACCTAAAGCCATCAATTACGGCCGATCTAGACCATTTCAGGTCTAATTAAAAATTAACGTGGGAATTTGCTGTAAGTCTGCTGATCACAGCACCTCATTTCTTTGCGAACCATATCAGTATCTTTATTACATCAGACCGCCACACAACAATACCAACACATTGTGCTATTTTCCATAGCATCACTATGTCTGAACCTGTAGAGAATTTATACAGTTCTAGTCCTCTATCAGAAGACGAAGGGTTTACTGTTGGCCGAGGTTCAACGTCGCCGGAGCATACGAGTTTGGACAAAATGACATCACCTTACTATTCATATCGTGTTGATAAGGCAATACAGAAGGTAAACGAGTTTTTTGAGAGGTCGATAAAAAAGCACAGTGCCGCACACAATGGTTAGTGTATTACCCTGCATGGGAAAATACACATGCCGTCTCATTGTGATTTAAATAATAGAATACTTTAGTATTCTTTTTTCCAATTGATGCTCTTGAAAGCAAGAACTAGACTAAGCGTTCACTTGTTCTTTATCCTGTAACACTGTCAAAACTATACCATTACCGTTGTACTTCTTTCCCAGCACGATTCCCATTATTGGGCCAGACATTTTTCAATCCTGCCTCCCCGAACGGAGTCGCCTGCCAATACCACTTTTGAAACTCCACCCACACTGCAATCTGCCAAAGTGCCATCCCGCGCTTCTACACCTATCGTTGAAGTTGAGAACGAAAGTCTCCGTGAGCTTCGTACCATCTACACGAATTTCCAGAAATGTCTGGACTTACGTGACAAGTATATGGTGTTGTCGTTGCAGAGGTTAGGCGATAATCCAAAGGATGCAGACGGTTGGAAGATTTATCCGCCTCCACCCCAACCAACTTGGCCGAACCATGGATTGACTAATGGTGGAAATAATGATAACAACGACAGCATGAAGGATGGGAAGAAGGAAAAGAAGCAAGTTGGAGAGGATTTTCACTTTGAGGAGTGTGAGATGCCTGGTGTCGATGAGGTATGACATTGGAAATCAGGATTGTCGAGTTGTATGAAAATATATCTCATGTCATTATTTCTTTAGCGTTTATTTGAACTTGACGCGACCGGTGTTTACAGAGTTTACGAAAACGAAGATGGTAATCATTGTTAATTTACACCGTATTTACTTGTGCAATCGTCTCACGTATTTAACCCTTTTTTTTAGATTTACACAATAACAAACCGGCATATACTGTTCCAAGTATTAAAGAATACTTTGTGGATCTGGACTTTATTCTTGATGTGATATCTGATGGACCAGCGAAGAGTTTCGCGTACAGAAGGTTACAGATTTTGGAGAGTAAATGGAGTATGCATGTTTTACTGCACGAACTTGAGGAAATTGCTGAGACAAAGGTAGGGACTAGTAATAACAGAGCAGTCGATAAACGCTTCTATAGTCAACTCTTTTGGCGTATTATGTGCACATGCACGTGCGCACACATTTCAAATCTCAAGTTTGTATCTATAATTAATTTACTTAACTTCGCCCGATTCACAGGTAGTTCCACATAGAGATTTTTATAATGTACGGAAAGTCGACACACACGTGCACTTGTCCTCGTGTATATCGGTTGTATTATGATATTGGATTGCTATCATCTGTATAAGTTGATTATTACAATGACTATTCGGTTAATTTCTACCGATAATAGATTCAAACACGATATGACCGGCTTGTTTGAATAACAATATTATTATCAAGTTCTGTTCATATCATTATATGGTCTGCGAACGTTTCTCCACCGATTTGAAGCCCTTTATAATTAAATTGAGCTTAACCTCACGTACATGAGGTAATGGACGCTTTGTTAACAAAAATGCAGTTCATTGCACGTGTAATGTGGATTCATATTTTCTATCTCCGCTATAAATTAATTGGCTAACTAGTATTTCTAATGTAGTAATAATAAGGAGAATGTGCAGATTGTCTATCTTGGAACTCGCAAAATCCCTTCTTACACAAAAACTCGGTATTGAACAATGACGAGTGAGCTTCATATAGACGGATTTATTATCAGTTGACTGATGAAGTGAAATGTTTGATAACAAACACGGGATAAAGGATGAGATTTGGACACATCTTTGTAACATTAGGCAAACATCAAATAATATGGTACATATGCGGATTATACTAAAATAAAAGTCAATGATAGACATCATATAAACGGTTATTTATTTTACTGGCTTTGCCTGCTTTCTACAAAGATTCTATAAACGCCAAGTGCCGTTGTCTGCTTTTCTCAATCCTACGGCCCAGGATACTTTCACTCGTAAGATGGATCATGGAGCACATCTTATCGACCAACACCTCTACGTTCGTGCGATGGTAACACAAACAAATCAGCAAACGATCGCCGTTGCAAATTATAAATGACGGAGACGTATCGAAGACTAATTATAGGAAACACACACAAGTCCGTAAGATAAGTGCAAGGCAGATGTGTCAGGAAGAACTCGAAACAAAGAGATTACAAGGGCAAACCAAGACCTAAACGTAGGCTTTCTGGTAAATGTCTTTGATTACTTTTAAAGTTACCGGTCACACCATATTTTTGACACTCCTTTACGTTATTGCATAGCTGTATCAATATGCCACGTTGTTTGTATACGGGACATATTACGAATTGTTTCACCTCCCTGAGTACTCATTTAGTGTGCCAAACATTCGTGAGCCAGAAGCAGGTGGTTGATGTGGTCGTAATACTTACGATAAACTACTCCAAAATGAAATGCGGCATGGAAATCTGTCCAACTTTAAAAGCAGGGGAATGAACAAATGTGTTTGATGCCGATGGCGTATTCAACTCACACGTCTGCCATTACATTATATTACTGTAGAGCTGCTCAGTATCATCACAGAGTTATCAGGCGGTGGTGAACGCATTTGCGACTGACGTCTCCAACAAACCGTCGAAGCGCACGCTCCGTAACAGTCATAAGATAGACTACTCCATACACATCCGTAGTAGCGTCACATCCGCACATTCGCACAACTGTATGGCGGCCGCCGCATAGTGCCACAACATACTAATTAACAATAGATGGTGAGATATTTATTTTTATATGCATAGTTGTATCATGCAAATGCATAATAAACATCCATACAAGTATCCGAACTATAAATTTGCATGTTTTATACAATGTGCTTGCACTTCATAATAATAAACAAGTCTGATTGATATACCTAAAGTTATTGACTGGTCTTGACTGAGGCTAATGTAAGACCAGAATAGGGAAGAATGCCTCAAACTGTGTGAATTAGAGCAATTAATGGAACGCCGTTCTTGCAAGAGAGCGTTGAAGCAAATTATCATGATCAAACTTAATATACGGCAATATAAATAACTTTTGTAACACACTAATTCTATCTACTTTTCGGAAGTCATATGACTAATAATAATAATAGGTCAAGAGTTAACACATTAACTAAAACAATTTTCTAATCTCTCATGCTGAGTACGGGCTCCGACATTTTATTGTTGATTATTATTTGCTTACAAAACATGGCTGAAACACCCAAAGCGTATAACCAAGAAATAGACCTTGATAGTTTAGATCTTGAATGCTCCTATACTTTCAAAGAGTTTGAGTATATCAACAGCTGGCTGAAAAATATACCTTGAAAATTGACAGAAAACTATAAACCCTTTTGAGCTTGATAAAAACGGAAACTAGTACCCATGCCACAAAACCATGTCATAAAGACAAGCAGTTGGCCAACTAAAATACAAACTCAGCAAGGTGGTGGTTGGCACATGTAACCCATGGATTAATTTTCAACCTACTTGCATAATTATGTCATGGCGATTCGGTGAAAAAAATAATATAAATTATGTCTATTAATATTAATATTAATTAATATAAAAACCTAAATATGAAAATAATTTACATTAAATCCACTATGGAACCAATGAATTACAGCATCATTAGGAGTATGATGAACCCTCACCTCACGGATATCATAGGGGGAGTTGGGGTTAGGGAAATATGGCGTCACACTAATTATATTATAATTCGTATATTAATATTAATATCTCGAATTGAATACTACCGCTTTAAATTTTATTCATAATAAAAACTTTTTGCAAAAATAAACTAAATTAATTTGTTGGCATAAGCGCGAATTTTATACAAAACTACAGTATTACTATATTTATACATAACGAGTAATTCAATAATTTGTTAATAAAAACTGAATAGATTGTCAATTGCTTCTAACAATTTCTTTTTCTTATGCTCAGTTCTTCTTCCTTATTTTTTATTTTTAGTAATACAGTATATTGTAAGTACACAATTGGCCGTGAATCGTATTAAAATAGATAAGTGATGTTACAGATCAGAAGTTTAAATTTAAAATAACAATTTATATTAATATTGATATTAGCGAGAAACATGTAGTTAGTAATTAGGAATAAAATCTGGATATATGATGATAGATATATCAACTTCTTTTATTTGTGATGGCAAAATTCACTCGATTTATGGTGTTTAAGGCTTAACAACCAATCAGACAGATCGTGTGAAATTAACAGATCTGCAGTTTATTACTAATACTAATACTGTTACTATCTTTGATTTAAGTGATAAATGATAAAGACAACAACGTGCCGTTCGCCGTCTTGAATGATATTATGTATTGTTTATCGCCTGATGAGTTATCGCGCAGTAAAAAATTTTCACTGGTTAATTAAACTGATATATAGTGATGATTTTGATAACAATATGATATAACAATGGTCACATACTTAATACTGTAGAAAAATTAGAAGGGTTTTTATTTTTGGCAGTAAAAAATTTTCACTGGTTAACAGTTCTGCGGTTGATTTTAATTATCTATGAGTGGTGATATTAATAACAGTAGTATAAAAAACGGTAGAAACATTAGAGAGGTGTTTATCGATGAAGATCGTACAATTACGATAAGCCACGCGTATGAAAGTGATATTGATAACAATACAGATGTAAACAACAGAAACATTTAGAAGGATTGTCTATTTTTAGATCATACAAATAACAGGTCCAGAGTATATACAGTAAAAATGTTTCACTGAATATTAATTACATCATACGTGGCTTGTCGGGCTAATCAGTAAAAAATTTTTACATTGATTATTTATATTTACCGGAAACAATCGTCATGATGTCATGGTGTCATGGTGTCACACAAGACAATATATCGATATCAGATTCTCACGCTCCTTGTTACGTATATAAGGTTGCAACTGACGATATATATAACACACTTCTCCTTCACTTCATATTACATACATACGACCTACCTACCTACACACTACCCGAACAAGCAAAATGATTAATTATAAAAAACGCTCATTATTACAATATTTAATATTAAGACGATATATATAACACGAGTCGAGTCTCCACTTCATATTACATACATACGACCCACACTCCATATTACCCACTGCTGTACCCGAACTGGATAACAGAACCAGGGAATTTGTAAAGCGCATCAAGAGAGTACTTAGAACTGCGGGATTCACAGCGACGAGGAGGTAAGGAGGTTTTTTCTAAATAAAGTCTTGTTGTTATATTAGTTTTAATTATTTCATTCGTTTTTTTAGGAGAGCCGATATTTCTGCGCAGCTTGGAAGCAGCAGATTTTATATTCAGTGCGAAGCGGGTGAAAGAAACATCGGTAATTTGATTTTATCATTAATTATTACCATTGAAATATATAAAACTTAGCTTTTTTCTTTTTTTATAGGTGTAGATGTCGTGCGGCATTTCGTTAGTTCAATGCAGCAGCGCCCCGGCTACATAGGGGTCGTTGCTGCTAAGAAAGGGTTTACTGAGGCAGCTAATGTGGAAGCTGCAACTTCCCACATATACTTGGAAACCCACAAAAGCATTGCCACAAGTTTAGGACGAGTTGCTAGGAAGATTGAGGAAGGTATACGCGACGAGGCGCTTGACGAGGAAAAGCAAGACGCAATACGGCGGAGGCGGGAGGCAGCGCGTTTAGAGGAAGAGGCATTGCATTTGAGGATGGAGGTGATAGGAAGGGAGGAGGGCCTATACGGGAGTAAAATACTTGTTGTTTTCAGTATTATTATTATTATCTATCCATCGAAATAAAAGTTTACAGTCTAGACTGCAAACGTGATACAACATCGCTTCATGGCTATTAATCATCGCAATAGTCTCTACTTATAATTTATCCCGAACCGACCAAACCTTACAGCTTTTATGTAAGCGTTTTTACAGAGTACAGTCCTACCTCCTTTCAGCTAGACGAAATTTCCTATTGTAAAGTATAATTACAGAATACAAGATTTTACTAGTAAAACATATCAATATTTCCTCAATAAATTTTATATAAACTGTATTTTAATTGAGAGATATTAGCAATTTGTAAGATATTACCGACTGCTGTCTATACTCTCACCAAAAAGTAAACTCACATAGCGACCCCCCCCGACGATTCTGCCAATTCCATTGGTCCATATTTGTTCACACATTAATATTAATATAAGGATTTAATCTGGAGTAACGCCAGCCGCTCCAATCCTAATTTTATGACCAGAATTGAGGCATTAAAAGCCTTACACTTGACGTCAC